GGCTCTAAGGCTAGGAAAGGTGGAAGGAAAGAGAAGAAGAGGATGACCAGCAGCAAGGGGGATGGACTCGGTTACAGTGGCAATGGGGACACTGGTGGGAGACTTGAAAGGACAGGTTAGGGACAGATCATCATGGAGAAAATCTATCCATGTGGTCTCTAGGAGTCAACAACAACTTGATGGCACATAATCACAGTGAGAATTAGGTTTGGTGTTGGGCTGTTGACTGCATCTGTGCACAAAATAAAAAGGCAGATGCATCAAGAAACCTTCAGGGTCACCTTCATGTCATTCTTGCTATCATGGTCTTCGGAGCTAGTTTTCCAACTTCCCAAATTTACAGTAAGGGTAGCCTCCTGCCCTGGAGCCTGCCCTGGTAGTCTCCCCTCCAAGTACAAGCCAGGAGCATTTGTGGTGGACAGAATAGTCAAGACAGTGGCTGCAACAGATGATCAAAGCCCCAGCCAGATGTGCTCAGTTATGAGCACTGTACGGCCTTCTCTGCCATTGTCCCCGCCCTTTAAAATATTCTCCCCCCAGAGGTGCGGTGGGCCTGTACCCTCCCGGCTTTCCGGAAGGGACTAAAGACCTGGCTCTGCCAGCTTGCATGGGGCAGTAAGAGTTTTAGTCAAATCTGGGGGTGGCTGGTGCCCTGATGACTCCCCGAGCCTAATACCCACCAATTACCATAAATTCTTGGACTACATTTATTATTTATTTAGGACTACTTTTATATTTTATTGTTAATTAATTTTATCTCCTCTGTAAGCCGCCCAGAGCTGCTTTTTAACGAGATGGGCGGTACAAATTTGATATATAAAAATAAATAAAAGAAATAGTACCGTAAAAGAAATTCAAAAGCTGGGCAACTTTAAAGAAAGGACCACACAAAGCCCAAGGATATCAGCTGCTGTTGCAGACCCAGGAATCCTGTAATATTAACCACTGCTTTTATCTCTGCATTAGACAGGCGCAAAAGTAGCATACAAGAATTTTGCAATGTAGCTCTAATCTACCCCAGGTTGGAAGGCAGTGCTGAGAAAGTAGTTTGTCAGAAGCCTTGCAATGGAGGCCATTCTTAATATTAAGGTCAGAGTTGGGGCCAAGGCTGGTTGGATTCCTGAGCAAAAATTCCTTTATTCCTTAATGAGCTGCAATTCTTATTCCATCTAAATTGCCACCATCCCTGCCACCAATTCTCCCCTTAGGCCAAACCCAAGATTCATACCCCATTGTCTTGCATGCTGACAGGATGCATTTTTGAATGTTCAACTGTTTTTAAAAATTGCATTACATTTGCACATAAGGACATGAACCTAAGTAGAAAATCTCTTTTTGCAGAAATTCTCAGATTTGTAGAAACAGAAGGGACCATTCAAGTGATCAAGTCCAACTTCCTGTTCTGTAGAAAAATCCTAATCCAAATTAAAGCATCTCAGACAGGAGCTGTCTGGCCCCTTTCTTTCTCCTTTCTTGGCCAAATCTTTTTTCACAGGGAAGAGGTTCATACATTTCTTTTTCTTAGAAGGTTTCTCCATAGCATCCAGACTAGAATCTTCCATATGGTGGGCAAGAGCACTGATAACCTGGCAAAAGAGAAAAATAACAAAAGCTTTGATTTTCAAATTACACAGGAATAAGGTATAAGGAATAAGGCCTCTTGTTAAGAAAAAAAACCCTACTGAATGTGATAATCCAGGAAAAAGAATGGTTTAAAAGTCTGTTTCTCCAATGTGCACTATAATTTTCTAAAGATGGAACTATTTCCTGATATCATCCTGGATGCAAGTTTTGCCTTCTACAGGAAATTTAGATGTGTTTAGGATCAATATCCCAAGATTTGCTGTATAAAGATAATAAATCTGCAAAGTAATGGCTTTGCGACAGGAATAAGCTATGCTGTCCTGTGTATCGAAGGATCAGTAAATGAAAGGAAAAGACAGCAAAACATATTATTTTTATCTTACTCAGAATATATTGTACACATATAAAAGTACATGATCCTAGAATGTATTTATGGGATAATGCAAACATTGAAATGCATATAAAGTATAGTGTTTGGGAAAATAACCAGGTCTTCATAACTGTATGTCAGGTGGGAGACTTTTCCACAAGACAGGTGCCATGCCAGAGAAGTCACACTTCCTATATCAACATTTTCAATTTTGAAAGCATAATTTCATATACATGAATTTTACTCATTAATCTGAAGTTACAGAAAGAAGTAATTAGAAGAGTCTTCTTCTACATATAACCTGTGATTTCTTACATGCCCATAGCTGTATTATTAACTCAGCTGGTTGCTTTAATGCTTTAATTTGGATTAAAGGATTTTTCTACACAACAGGAAGTTGGACTTGATCACCTGAATGGCCCCTTCTGTTTCTACAAATCTGAGAATTTCTGCAAAAAGAGATTTTATGAAAGGTTGAGGCACAGCTTCCTGGGGGATTCCTCAAAAACCACTCCAGAAGGCTCAGGGATGGTGGAGTACATTGGTCAGATTTCCTTCCTCAGTAATTCAATTTGAGTTGAGGGGAAGTTTGAGAAAGCTGTGCTTATTATCAACCCAGCTGGTTGACCATTCCTGGAGTAAGATTCCAATCCTGTCTGGATGCCACTTTGATCACCTATTTCTAGTGGTGGCCTCCAGACAGGATGGGAATCTAACATCTAGAACTATCAACCAGCTGAGACTCTAGTGGCTACAAATTCTGAAAATCATGCCTGAAAGGTACTGGGGAAGAAGAGAAACCTGAGAATTGGAATCACATTCATCAGTGGAAATCCGTCCTTCTGCTGGCTTTGCACAACAAAAAGTGCTGTCGAGTCTAGCCTGAAGATTTATTTTTTGAGCCAGGCTCCTGATGGACCTCATGTTGTAACATCATTTAAGTACATCACCAGCTGTTCCTATCTCAGCCTCATGTTGTTTTAATGTGCTTGTTTTAATTTCATTTGTTGCAATCTGATATGGTTCCACTGGTTTGAGAGTCCTTTTACTGGAAAGCAGGCTTAAAATCTGAACAAGCAAATACATAAATGAATACTAAGTTTGTGAGCTGATCATTAGTTCTGGAATTTAAAAAAAAATTCTTACCTCCGCATTTTCAGTATTTTCAGTACACTTGAGAAATCAAGGTATGGCAAAAGGCTTGGAACATTTGTAGTATGTTTCACCCACATGGGCTCTCTCATGACAGATGAGAGCCCACGATGAAGAAAAGCATTCACCACACATCAAGCATGTGTAAGGTTTATCAACTGCACAGCTCCTGTGATGCCGCATAAGGTCTGAGCTTTGAACAAAACCTTTCTGACACTTCAAGCACTTGTGGGTCCTGACTCCTGGGTGGGCTCGCTGATGTTTTGCCAAGGGGGAGGGATCAGCAAAACACTTCCCACACTCCAAACACTTATATGGTTTCTCTCCTGTGTGGACTCTCTGGTGTCTTAGAAAGTGTGATTTGTCCACAAAACGTTTCCCACACTCCAGGCAGTTATAGGTTCCGTCGCCTGTGTGAATCCGCTGGTGTTTCACACAAGCTGAGGCCTCAACAAAACACTTCCCACACTCTAAACATATATAGGGCTTTTTCCCACTGTGGATTTGACGGTGTTTTGCCAAAGTGGAGGCATCAACAAAGCTCTTTTCACACTCTGCACATTTATAAGGTTTCTCGCCTGTGTGAACTCTCCGGTGTATTGCGAAGGCTGAGGAATCAGCAAAACATTTTCCACAACCCAAACATTTATAAGGTTTCTCTCCTGTATGAACTCGTTGATGCCGCACGAGATGTGATTTTGCAGCAAAACACTTTGCACACTGCACACATTTGTAGGGTTTTTCTCTTGTATGGACTCTCTGGTGTCTGGCAAAATTTGATCGGCTGGCAAAACATTTGCCACACTCAGGGCACTTGAAAGGTTTCTGATCTGCATGGGACCTCTGGTGTCTCACAAAATAAAGTTTGCGGGCAAAATGCTCCCCACACTCCAAGCATTTATATATTCTATCTCTTGTGTGAACTCTCTGGTGCTTTGCAAAAGTTGAGGGCTGAGCAAAACATTTTTCACACTCGGAGCACTTGTAGGGCTTCTCTCCCGTGTGGACTCGCTGATGTATTGCTAAGGCTGAAGAATACCCAAAGTACTTTCCACACTCCAAACAATGATAGGGCTTTTCTCCTGTGTGAACTCTCTGGTGTTTTGCAAAGGCTGAGGGCTGGACAAAACATTTCCCACAATCCAAGCATTTATGCAGTTTCTCTCCTGTATGGAGTTTTTGGTGGTCTCTGAGTTGAGATTTCCAAGCAAAACGTTTTCCACACTCCAAACATTTGTGTCGTTTTTCTCCTGTGTGAGTGTTCTGGTGGTCCAAGAGAGAAGACTTCTGACCAAAACATCTCCCACACTCAAAGCACGTATAGGGAGATTTTCCTGTGTGGTATCTCTGATGAATGGCAAGGTGCGATCTCCAGGCAAAATGCTTCCCACACTCTAAGCATTGACAGGGTTTCTCCCCGGTATGAATTCTCCAGTGGCTCGTGAGATTTGATTTGGTTGTACAACGCTTTCCACATTCCATGCACTTGTATGGCTTCTCTCCAGTGTGAGTTCTCTGATGGATCAGAAATTTTGACCTCTGAGCAAAGCATTTCGCACACTCTAAACACTGATAGAATTTCTTTCCAGTGCGGACTTGCTGGTGATTCAGAAGACTGGATCCGTAAGGGAAATGCCTCTCCCACCAAGCACATGAATGCTTCTTCCCACAGCCATCTATTGAGATCAAAGGCAAAAGAAACAAGTTTTGATTTGGAGGATGAGAAAAAGAAGTACCTAGAAATTAGACTGAAGAGCAAAACCAAATTTAAAATTATGGGTTCAAGCATCAGACAGGCGCCCATCATCTTCTACTTCTTTTTGATTACATTTTTCCTCAGCATTAAATCATCTCAATACATCTATGAAGTATCATAAAGTATTAGACGCTATAAAACACTTGAATGAAAAAGAACAGAATTTTATTTTCAGGTTTACATTCTAAACAAGGTAATGCCATGAAATGACCCAAATTCCAGGAAGTGTGATTAAGAATTATCTTTTATCTTTTTAATTGTAATGTTTAATAACATTATTATACAAAAAATTAAAAACTCATTTGCACAATTGGAAAAAAGAAAAAATAGAGATGTCAGAGAGGAGGATGCTTAGAAAACGTACAACTAGTGCAAGTAGATTGTGATATGAAAGAGAGGCTTGTGTTGCAACTATGAGAAAAGGATTGAGAAGAGAAAGATTAGTGGGGACATCATGAGCAATTGGAAACAACAGATGTGGGCCCCAAAACAGAGATGTTTTAAAGTAAATTAGACTGCATAAGAACCGAAGATTGTGTTGCTTTCAAAAGTAGCGTAGGCAAAAGAAGGAACAGAGAAAAGTACAATGAAAACAGAGATGCAAATAGAGGAGAGAATGTGAACATGAGGAAGACCACAGAACATTATAGGACCATGACAGGTAGGGTGAAAAGAGAACTCATCTATGTGTATCGTTGCAAGGAACCTATGTTCTTGCCAACGATGCCAACTTTCTATCTTCCACAAACCTCTTTTGGTAGTGTTGATCCTACACATAAGATTTAATGATCAATTCACCTATTCTGATACCAGCTGCCTGCACGGCCAGGAGCGAGGCTTTGTTTATTTGACTGCTTTATATGGCCACCCAACTCACATGACAGCCACTCTGGGCAGATTACGTAGAGTTAAAAAGCATAAAACAAAAACAAAAAACCACAACAGTACATGAAAACTTCACAGTATAGCCTAACCAAGGCAACCGTAACATCTTCCAATTCAAAATCATTCCAGGAGGGGCTTATCCGATGTTCTGGTCCAACGCCCAGGAGAACAGCGAGGCCTTCAGGGTTGGGAACATCTAGATCTCAAGAGGAATGCTGGTCTTAGGAAGACCCACTAGATGGCACTGTTTCATGGAAGGGATCTGAAGTATATGGTACCTATAATCCCACTACATCTGGAGGGTCATGTAATGCCCATCCCTGACCTGGGACCCCCACCCTGACAGTCTTGGCAAAGAATAATAGTTCCCTCAAAGCCCAAGAAGTTTCATGAGTACTGTGGTTAGGACAGCCCACACTGAAACAGTTATAAAATATGAAACGTTGAAGGCTTTACATACCCATCTACCTCTTTAGAATAGTGATTCAAAGGAACAGGATGGCAACAAAACATGAACCAGACTTTCAGGAAATAACTCAAGAAACTTGGTTTCCCCACAGCCCTCACCTGAGGGGAGACTGAGATTCTCCACTCCATCCAAGGCCTGAGACGCCAACATCCAAGGATCTTCCCCTCGTTCTAGCTGGGAAATGAGCTCTGGCTTGGTGAGTGAAAAGCCTTTCCAGGAAAGAAGAGAAGAAGAAACATCCAGGGATGCGTCATCACTCCCCATCTAATCCTTGATCTCTAAAAAGCAAGCCTCACAGCTGCCTTCCTGAACAATAATTTATTTTCAGAACGATAGTTTGGGAAGACATTACTGGATCTTATTTATTTATTTACTTGATTTATATCTCCTTCAGGAGCTCAAGGCAGTGTTCTCTCCCATTTTTCAAACCCTGTGAGATAAGTTTTGCTGAGAAAATGGGACTGACCCAAAGTCACCTAGAGAGCTTTCATGGCTGGGGGGGTCGGTGGTAAAACCCTGGGTCTTCCCACTCCTAGTCCAAAATCTTCACCTCTCCAGTACACTGGCTCTTGGGCTAAGAGAGGACTAGTCCAGTGTCCCCCAGGGAATTTTTGTGCCTGAACTGGAAACAGAATCTGGGTCTCCCCAGTACCATCCCATCATCGTCATCGTCGTCATCATCATCATCTTATTCTGCCTATATACATATATGTATGTATCTATGTATGTATAGGTCAAGTCAAGGTGGCGAACATACTTAATGCTCTCATCTCCTATTTTCCCCGCAACAACAACCCTGTGAGGTAGGTTGGGCTGAGAGAGAGTGACTGGCCCAAAGTCACCCAG